AATAATTGCAAATAATATTAATAAATTAAGTACATTTATATTCAATTGCAAATTTTTATTTCAGATTGTATAGTACATAGATAAATGATTGGTCTCGCTTTCCTCGACTGGATACCGCGCTGTCAAAAAACAACAGCTCCGAAAATGCGGCAACTCATTAACGTAGTGTGTGTATGTCAATTTGCAATGATGCTATCAAATTTCATAAATCGTGTAGCCAGCTGCTCAACTGATATCCAAGTAATAGGGAATATGTACCAGGTTATAAATGTAGCTCATAAAATACTTGAAGAAGATGCACTTAATTAAATGCGAATATATCAATATTTAGGCCTCAATTTATTTTATTTACATGTAATATTTACTTGTACATTATAACAGTGATTCAAGTTTAATAAAACATTCACTACGTGTACCCCATACACAACTGTCAGGTTGACTGGCTCGGTGAAAGCTCGGGTATACCGATTTCGGCATAGTATTTGTTGCCGCATTAGACAAGTACGTCGGCGGTATCTAGTCGTGTGAAGCGAGACCAATCATTCATCTATGGTATAGCAATACTTTTTTTAAGACCCTTGCTATATTGCATTCTTTTTGTCATACTTAACAGTCAATGAAAATAGTAGACACTTCAAAGATTGCGTCGATTTTAGAATGTTCCATTCCGTATAGCTGTAACGAAAAATAAATGAAACGAAACATTGAAAATTTGTTTGATAAACACTCGAAAACATAAGTTATTCAACTAATAAAACCTTGGCATAAAACGAAATCCTATGTCCATGATAAAACGTATAAAAATGACAAGGATTTCAATATTGGAACATGGCTGTCAGATTTCATTTGACAGCCTCCATAAACTTCCGAAGATTTAAATTATAAAATGTTGGAGTGTTTGGCTGGGGAAAAGTTTCGCTTTAATATTCGCCATTCGGTTTTCTTTTGTCGAATTCCTCAAATCATTTTTTATAAATCTTTGTTGGTGCCGTACCGTCGGTGAATATCATAATGATATAATATCGAACATATGTCAGCTGCGGCACATGTAGAGACTTATCTTGTGTTATCTAAAGTAACAAAGCGTGACGTGATTTTTTAATGGTACACTTATTTTATTCATCTTTTTATTTTAGGTTTTTCATCTTAGCTAAGGCATTATAATTCTATTGTTAGCCTTTGCCACCTCCAGCCTATTAATATCCCACCTGCTAACTTCCTTAGACATGGAATAGGGAATAACATGCCATGACCCACCACGTGGGACTGTGCGGAGTGGTGGGTCTCAAAGACTGCAGATGCAGCTGGGACGCTTGGAAGCTTGAGATAATAAGTATTGTCTGGTCTCCCATTCAACGACCGGTCATTGCGAAAGTTGTTTATGAGGGAGAATTAGTAAATCATCATCATCAATATATGGAAATATAGGGGAAAACTGGAAGAGTTAACAACAAAATAGTCTCGCATATGACCAATGAACGAAATGACGTTTTCTTTGAGCTAAATATAAATAATTTTTTTAAAGATGGTTTAACTCTCCCACCTGGGCTAGTCTTCCGGTCTTTTCGCGGGGAATCTTATCTCTTTGTCGGGGTCTCGTGCCCTTAGATCAGAAACGAATGTTTTTATATATAGCTTTTGCTGTCTTTCGAAGCTCTTGCACCCGCCCCTCTTAGCCATGGCCCCTTAGCTTTAAGGTAAAATACGCATGGGCATACACGCGGTGACAGGGCTTGCGTCATCGAACTCCTCATTACAATGCCTTGTCCAAATTAAAGCACCTGATTGGATTGTACACAGGGACTATTACATTTTATATTGATTTATCGGCAAACAACATCAACATCATCGCTCGGTGGGTCGTGGCCCGTTTTCGCTATTCCATTATAAGGAAAGTCCAGTCCAGCCCCAGTCATGTAACGTTAATAGGCTGATAACTTAATATTATTGGATATCCTATTATTGATTTACTACCCTACCATTGTATTTTTTGATCGATATGTGTGCTGTACCGCAATATGGCTCTTTTATTGGGAAAACCTCTTTCGTGTGTATTGTATGGGAATAAGGGGATCTCTCGAGCCTTGAGTGCCATTACTATTGATTGTAATTAACTACCTACTAGCCTCGTAGCAGTGAATAGGATGTTAATTAAATAATTACTCGTGCTACATATCAGTGCGTAGGCTCTCTGGTTTATTTATTTAGTTGCAAGCTTCGATGCGATAATCTTGTTACCTTATATATTTAGATTTGTTGTGTATTATGACTTAAGATGTGTTAAGTGAAGACAGAACTACTGCAGTGGTAGCAAAACACCTCCAAGGGCCAACATGATTAGATTTTTTGTGTAAGGCATGCATTTTTTTTATTGAATTAGGTGTTCAATTTGGTGCTTGGTGCTCCAGACATAAGGTGTGAAGATATGAATATAATTATTCAAACAAACAAAATATAACAAACAAAAAAATTTAATTGTTGTTCTTTATTACAATTTAACTCCGTCCATAATAATTCAACGTTGTCGATTACGTTCGAAGTTGAAAGGTAACCGAATAGATTGCCGCTTCTAGGAATTAAGTAAGTACTTAGTGATTAATGTAAATTACATAAACAATTAACAAAATAAATTTGGGTTCTACATTTTCGAATACAACTTGGCATGCTTAACATGAATATTTATTGACTTATATTATCTCTTTTGTAATTCTCAAATAGTATTTTTTTATATGACAGTATTGCTTTGCATTTAAAATTAATTTCAAATCTTTGTTTTAAGTCTGACATTTACGTTTAAATTTAAGTCAGCGGTAATATTTCAACTAAGAATACAACTTTTTCCGGGGGAATATTGCGGATGGACTTTGCACCATGGTAAGAGTAACCTGAGTCGTTGGAGAGCTTTTGTATTAAATGTCATAGGTATCGTGAACCAAACAAATAATGATAAAGTGGTGATAAATTTCAATGAATAACTTAATAAAAAACATATAAAACCTAAGCATAGGATGAAAGATGATGTGTCAGAAACACGAGTTAATATTGAGATGACGGTTTGTCGAGAAGTAGGTAAGGCATAAAAGACATATTGTACCGATCCTAAATAAATTGGAAACGGCGCAGGCAAATGATGAATGTTGCCGATTACCAACGGACCACGGGAAAACGTGTAATGGATCGCTTTCAATATGCCTCCGATTATTCTTGATTTGACTTTTCGTTTTTATGTGTTAAAGATTAGGTAGTTAAGTACATTTTAAATTAAATTAAATGAGGAGACCACGAGGAAAATTCAGAAATACATTTTAAAATATAAACAAAACAAAGCGGTGAAACAGTTAAAATATTAAAAAGTTAGCTTCATTATTAGTTTAAAAACGAATACCTATGATAGAAAATGAGTTCTCTTTGTTTTTAGTTCGGTATATGTGGATTGCGGTTGGTTGCGCCAATTTTAACTAAAGCTCTCTCTGACAGGCCCGCTTGTCAGGTGTCATCGGCAGTATAATGCAGCAGTATTAATATTTCTGTAATGGCGTTGAACCAAAATAGTATCGAAATGTGTTAGGCATGAGATTTTAAGTCAAGAATTTTTGCAATAGGACCTCTCAATTAACTCTTTTTAACTCCCGCAGCCGTACTCGGGAAAGTAATTAATGCTTTATTAAGTCACGAGTTGTTTCATTATTTTGATATCGCAATGAAATTGACAGCATCAACATTAGTCAAATTCATATAGTACAGTCAATCTGTCGAAAAAAAAAATCGTTTCAGTGAAAAAAAAACCTAAAGGGTAAGTCTTGTATTTTCTGTTGCCAAATGACGTCAGTAAGCCACCTTGGCGATGGGCATGTTCAACTCGTAGGCGTTTTGTGAAAAACTTAAAAAAACCCGCATTTTTCTTGTTTTGGTTGCATTTTAGAAACTTTATTTTCGACCATAATTGTAGAGTGCGTTGAGTACTACAATTTATGTCATTGTTGCAATCTCGTACAACAAGAAATGCGCATTGTAGGTGGCGCTAAAGTCTCAAAAAAAGTGTTTTTCACCTTTGTAGCCTGAAAATATCATTTTAATGGATGAAAAATCCAATAGAACGGTTTTTGGGTAGTTCAAGTACACATTTGCAGTGCACATTTCAATGTACGTTTTTACTTTTTTTTTTTATTTATATTTTTATTATTTTATTTGTTATTTTTTTCAATCATGAAAAAAAATAAAAAATAGTAAAACGTACATTGAAATGTGCATGCACTGCAAATGTGTACTTGAACTGCCCAAAACCGCTCTATTGGATTTTTCATACCAGCGAAATTTATAACTTGAAAACGGTAAGTAATACAAAAAAATTGTTTATACAAAAGTTGTTGGTAATTATGTACGAAACAACTTTTCCATTTAAAGTTTTCCATTAAAATGATATTTTCAGGGTGAAAAAGTGAAAAAACACTTTTTTTTGAGACTTTAGCGCCACCTACAATGCGCATTTTTTGTTGTACGAGATTGCAACAATGACATAAATTGTAGTACTCAACGCCCTCTACAATTATGGTCGCAAAAGCGTTTCAAAAAATTTTTGAGGGTTTTTTTGAGTTTTTCAAAAAACGCCTACGAGTTGAACATGCCCATCGCCAAGGTGGCTTACTGACGTCATTTAGCAACAGAAAAAATAAAACTTACCCTTTAGGTTTTTTTTTCACCACTCAACCTACAGATTGACTGTACTAATAAGCTAATCGACAAATCTTTGTGCAGCCGTTATGGCATTATCAAACGAAATTTTTTTGAAGCGCATGATTATTATTTTTATACGCATACAGGAATTGAGCAATAAATACTGAAAGTAGTAGAAACCTTCAAATATATTTACATAGCTTCCATTATACTCGTATCTCTTAATAACCCATGTGGAGTCGATAGCATATCAAGGGTGTGTAGCACAGCACCATCAGGTTGGTGATGCCCAGCAGTAGGATGAAGACAATAGCACTAAATCTGACCTGTGTTGATAACATCAGTGCGCGAGTATAGTCGAACGCGTGGGCGAACCACGAGTCGTCGCTGGGCCCGCACAGCACCAGCAGGTTGGTGATGCCCAGCAGTGGGATGAGGACGAGCAGCGCCTTCGTCGCTTTCCTGTACTGCTCGGTTTCCAAGGTGTTCGCTGAACGCAGCTTCGTAATTAACACCTTGTAACAATAAAAACATTATTTAAACGGAAGCGTCCAAAATGTATAAAAGAATGAAATCATTCTAGATGAACACATACACGCACAGATAAGAAAAAAATGCAGATTTTTTAAAAGCCCATTTACAGAGAGCAAACGGAAATACCTACGCTTGATTTCGTGAAGTTGAAATTACAGTTATTAATTACCATATTAATGAAATAATATCATTATTTTCCTAGGCGTGAGGTACTGTCCGAAAACGAAATTGTGACAGGTTGTTAACCCACCTCCTATGGCAGTTGCCAAATAAATGGCCTGGCCTTAACAGCTATCTGTGATACAACTATGTATATACTCGCCGCAGTTATTTTTATAAAAGTAAATTATGTGCCGAATTAAATTTCAATGTATGGAGAAAAGAAATATGTGACTAAATAACTTTAAATATAATTATGGAGTTAATAAATATGTGATGAATGAACAACAGCTCGCTAGCATATTATATTTTTCTTTTACTCTATTAAATAAATACAGATTTGGAGACAGATCAGAATACACCTTCTTATCCTCATAAACGACAGATAAAACAACAGTTTGAATCCATTTCAACGGAGTTTTTAATTAGATTTCTTTCTCGGATCAAACGAAACTCATCGGAGTTTGTAGAAAAAATATTATCATTAAAAGTTGCCGCGGCGACAACTTCGTGAAAAAAAAGAAATAAAAGAAAAAAAGTGTAAAAAAATATCGGATTTCGCAAACTTCATTTTTCTTTTTCACTTTAGAACGTGCGGCTTGAAGAAGTCAAATGAAATAACAATAACTGACCTATAAGTTTTAAGTATGATTTCCCCTAGTTGCCAGAAGGAAAACTTATTTTTCTAAAAATAGTGTTATAATTAGTTGATGTTACTCTGACTTATAAAAAGTGGAAAAAAAACTTCTTCGGCTGGGAATCGAACCATGGCGGCTTGCTGGAAGGCGAGCTTTCGACCACTGAATCACCGACGCTTGTTAACAAGTTCTAATTTTTTAATAACAATTAAAAATGTAATGCGACATACTAAAGATGACCTAAAAAAAGGTGGCGATATAATATAAGTTATTGTTTATTTTATAACCTCACAACTGCGAGATGAAATATTTAGAATCTATAGAGATACTCGAAAGTCCTTACCCACATTATCCTGATGAGGAAGAATAGGTTAAGAGCAAGTCCAACAAGAGCAGGAGCCTTGTGGATCCAGTCAACCTGGTGCTCGTGGATCCATAGACACATCTTGGTTTCCCCAGCGATGGATAACTGTTGAGCCAAAGAGAACATAATCACTACATGCGAAGTATTTTCATAAAACACTATTATATAATTATGTTACGACCACACTGTCGCACTATCGCGATCATTTTCCGTTTTCACGACAAGTCGGGCCAAGCAATAGTCACAGTTTGAAATACGGTCAGAAATGTGTCTATTGTTTGGATAGATGCGTCGTGAAAACGGCAAATGCTCACGATTTTGGGATAGTGCAATAGTGTGGTCGTAGCATTATAGTTATAAAATCATCGTGAGAATGGTGGGAGAGGTCTCTCCATTTTGAAAATTCGATTATCTTCTATTTTTTTTAATATTTGCTACTTCACATTCAGAACATAAATGATATGAAAACTGTGGTACTGCTATTTTCACGGTGATTTTATTTAAATTTTGCACATCGGATTGACATTACGTTTCGGATTATTTTCAGGTTCTGTGGTTACATTAAAAAGTGAAATGTTCTTAAGACCCATATTAGAAGATTGCGTATTCTATGCTTTTGTTTCCAGACTTGAAGAGTCCATTTAGTTTTGTTATAGTTTGACTTAGTGGGAAATGCGAATTTCTCAAGAATATCCTTCCAACAAAACACATAAAGTCGGTTTCTTTAAAAACCACTATTATCAGCCTATTAATGTCCCTACTGCTGGGGCACAGGCCGTCCCTATAGATGGAATAGGGAGATTGAACCATGATCCACCACGCACAGTGCGGAATCGGTAGGTGCTAATGACTGCAGATGCAGCCGGCAATAACAGTTTAATGTACTCTCCGAAGCACGGAGGAGCTCGAGATAGTAAATTTTTGGTCACCCATCCAATGGCCGACCACTGCGAAAGTTGCTTGATTTCAACGATCGCAGCCGAACGCACTTACCAGTTGCGCCATCGAGCTCTTGCTCCTTTAAAACATTAAAGATAAATGATAATATCTTACCCCATCCGACTCTGTTGAAGGGATGATAGTCACAAAACATCTCGAAATAACCCAAAATGTGATGAATATCGCTGGAGCTCCTGTTGTATGAACATAAATAAAAATTAATGTTTCAATATAATTATCTTACTGGTATATAATTTAAACAATAAAAAAATGAGATTATAGATATATATATATAAAAAGGATTAAAAGTAATTAAGGTCTGTGAATGCGACACTAAGATTCTATAGAAGTAGCTTATGAAATAGGCTTTTGTCTCCCGAAATTACGCTATGAGACACTAAATTGCCGCCTTAATATGGAAAGCACGAATTCCCCAAAATGTAATTCGTTTAACGTTTAAGGTATTACACGGAAAGATCGAGGGAATGAATATTGATATAATTTTGATTGATGAGGAAGGTAAAGAACATCCCTAATTAGCACAGCAGCTACTTTAAAAAAGGCCATATTTTGTAAGGGTAGTCTTTGTAGGTCGCTCTGATGAGCATCACATTAATAATAACTATTCAAAGTGTTTAGATTCCCGATTGGTAGATGCTGGTCTGATGATTCAAGTCCCGGCGTTTTCTTTTAAGTAATTAAATTTATTTCAGCATCGCAATACCTAGGCAGTTGAAAATTATGATTTTTTAATTTTTTTATGAATTTAATTTTTTATGAAGATGAACTTGTCCAAAACGTCTGGTTAGAAAGAAATGCGTACTACCAGTACTTAAATTAATTATAAAACTACAATTATGGAAGTTATTATTGTCATTTATTTGTTTTTTTAAATTATCTAGACAAATATTTTATCTATCAAGTATGATGGCAAATATTAAGGCTGATAATGATCGAGATTTGATTATTCAGTAGTACAGAAAGCATCACATCAAGTTATCACAAACGGTAATTTTTTTTCAATAGATTGTGAAACTTATATCCAGCTTTATTAAGCTCAAAGTCAGTTGACAGTTTGTCAGTTATGGGTTACTTCTTAGTGGCTGCCTGTACAACTATACATGTTTCGTCTCTCATTGGAGCATTCTCAAGGGTTATCACGCTTAGGCTTCATTCACACCGAGATCATTGCGGTAGATAATGCCAGCCTTTTTTGATCTTTTGGTTTATCAATGGACTATTTTATGTTATTTCTGTGATTGTATGAATCACAGATCATTGAAACAGGTATGACTTATCACAGTATCGACATCGCATTGTCTTTGTAGAATGACTTTTTGTTACATAGATTTTTAATATTTTTTCTTTTCTGCGCATTCTAATTTTAAATTCAAACACGACGATGAGAAGAGTTGCGCTGAAACCATCAGTTGTTTAGCAATAAGCAGTTTTCCTTAGTTTTTAATTAATTTTGATCTGAAATTTTATTATGATTTTACCTACGCGGTGAAAAAATAAAAATAATTTATCTAAATATCTATAAATAAAATCTAAATATATAAAAGAAGAAACTGACTGACATATCCAACGCACAGCCCAAACCACTAAGTTAAGAGACATCAAAACGCAAAGCCCAAACCACTAAGTTCAGAGACATCAAAATTTGCAAGTAGGTTCCTTATGAGGTCCAGGGGTGCACGAAGAAAGGATTTTTCAAAGCTCATCCCCGAAGGGGTTCAAATAGAGGTTGAAAGTTTGTATTGCCACAAACGCTCTCGAAACGGAACCTCGAAAGTGCTACAGATCGAATGTGCCAGAGCACCGCGGTTCGCGATAGAGGTCAAGTAATGCGGCTCATTCTAAAATGAGCCTTATGCAGTGCGGCGTAAGGGAGAAAGTGCAATGACATCTGCACTCGTTTACTAGTTATGCGCGTTACCTGCGTATGTATAAGTAGGAACTTCGTACTCGCAGGTGCTAGCTAAGCTAACTCTTAATTTAACAGGTACTTTTTAGAATGCGTCGATCGGCGTAGGTATATAAGCGCGATTGGCGCCGCGCAGAGACAGTTGAGTTTCAACAGCAATTTCGGAGCGAATCCAAAGGCGATCAAAGTACACTTTGTGTTCAAGTGCGATTGTTTAGAGACTTGTATAGTGAAATACAGTGTTTAGTGAGTGTTCTGTGATTAACATTGTGTGTTAATTGTGTGGTGAATAAAGTACTGTCAAGCGTGGACTGTCATACAATTTCGAACCCCATCCCGACACATAACAGTATGAAAAATCTTATTCCTTGAGTTAATAGACTTGAAACTTGGCAGGAATACTAATCTTAATAAATTATAAAGTTTGTCATTATTAGTTTTCCTAAACTACCTCTAAAGGGGAGGATTGGAAGGTGCCGAAGTTTATATATGAATTTATTTTACGCGCATTCGATTAACTCGAAACTCAGTATTTATAGTTTAGATCAGAATTAAAAAAGAAACATGTATCTAGAATTTTTAAATTTACTCCTGGGCGATAAAAAAGTGGATGTAAGTTTGTATGAAAGGCTTTCGGCTAGCTTGAAAATGATGACAACTGTTATGCAGCATTCAGTGAAGCAGCCTTGTGTCAATCACCACATATAATACGCGAGCTTTTTACTATCATGTTGGTGTTTTGTCAAGTGTCTGATACATTAAGTCTGTGGGATGCATTTAAAGAATATCTTTCAGCAGATTTTAAACGACAAATCGAAATACAGGAAGAATGTGAGATGAAGTGTTTGCAGAAATCAATAGAGTGGTTATGCGAAAGAGCTATACCAACCCTAAAGAACGACCAAGCAGCGGTCACTAATGAAATATTACTTAACTCCTTGGAAGGACTACAGAAAGTTTATAACTCAATGGATAGTGTGGTAAACACCGACGATTCTTTGTGGTATGCTCCTACCTGTTAATTAATCACAGTAATTATTACTACTAATACTGACAAACCTTCTAAAGCTATCACATGGTTAAGTAATTGTTTTTAAAAAGTTTTTTAAAAAGTGGTTTTACTGCGTATAGTACTTCCATCCTAGACAATTATTTAGGGTTTTCATAATACTTTTGTAAGTTTCTCTGTTCTACTCGGAAACCGATCTGACCCACCTCAGGATTTACGGATATTTTTACCATATAAGTGGATGTTGGATTGCACTCATAATAGTGAGAATTTGACACGTTATTTAAGTTTTTATTTACAAAACCGCTAATTTACTACTTTCTAAAAATAAGCTGATTGATGAAGAAGCAGATATGGTTAAAACTTTGCTACTTGAATCACTAAGTCTACGCGGACGAAGTCGCGGGCAAAAGCTAGTTTATAATAATTTGCTATTGCGAACTATTGAGTGAGCCAGCCGCTACTCGTGTTACGTCCATTTGAACGTATTGTAGAAGGAAATAGATATAGAAATCAAAAATTTTTTGATGTTTCTCGATCATCTCGGTGTGAATTTAGCTTTAGGCATCGTCCTAATTGAACGTGAATACGCTAAGTATTAATCGCTAGTTCGCGTAAACTTTGTTTAAATAAATCAAATCACATCTCTATATATGTTAGGATAATTTATTCTACCTCTCGGATTTTTAAATTTTATATTAAGACAAAAGAAGCAATTTTTATAATATTCTACGGAATTCGAATTTTTAATCATCGCTGTTTTATATCATCGAAAAACGTATCTTTAAAAAAAACATTTAAAGGTGTTTTGATTACCAGAAAAACGGTAAGTATATCGAACTTACATTTCTTAAAAGTATTAAGTTATCGATAAAACTATTCGTAAAAACATGTTACAATATGTATCGAAACCCATAATACTTTTTATCGCAGTAACGTTTCATCGAAAGATGCACTCGCCTGTTGACGATAGGTTAATTGAGTTGCGGTCAGTTCTATAATATTTTTTTCCTACCTACTACAGCTTAATAATTACATACTGCGTGTTGACAATACTAGTTAAAATGTGTGACGAAATATTTTGCTGTCTCGCGGGCCGCCTCGCGGTAAAATTGTACTTCCAGGGCCCAAGAGTAGGGTTGCAACGATATATCGGAATATCGAGACCAAAATATCGATATTTAAAATTCACTGATATCGATAATATCGATATCGGAAATTCCAAAATATCGATATTTCGTAGACTAAATTAATTTACCTGCTATGACTATCTAAATTATAATAATATCGAAATAACTATTACTTTGAAATCGCAAGAGCTTATATATTATTTGAATTTTTTGGTTTCCTGTCGTAGCTGAAACACAAACCGTGCAAGCCAATAAAAAAAATCCTGCTTGGCGCGATTTCATCCAGCGTGTTTAAGGAAAAAGCTGGCTCAATGCATTTTGCGAGAAACTCGCCAACAAACATATGAATGTGTTACACTCACCCCGTATTCTAATGTCAATACAAAATAAAAAGGAAAAAATATCGATATATCAATAATATCGAGTTAAAATGGTCGATATATCGGATATCGATATTTTCCTGACTTCGATATAAATATCGATATAAATATCGATATTTCAAAAGACTTTGCATCCCTACCCAAGAGGTGATAATTGTTTTTTTTTTGTAGAAAAGGTCTCTTTTATAAAACATGTTTTTCTGGCGCTTCGCCGGGCGCTGCCGCGGCATGATCGCTTAGCTCGCTCGGCTCGCGCGTTATGATCACAACACTAAACTAACCTAACCTAGTGTAAAGTATCACCACTTGAGCCCTGGAAGTACAGTTTAGCTCGCCTCGCCCCTCCGCGCCTACGCGCTTTGAAATTGCACTCTAGGGATAGGGCAGATAAGACTACTGTTGTCGCTGGAGTTGCATCGCAGCGCCCCCTAGTGATTCCATAGACTTTTTCAAGAAATAGACTGTGGTTGTTTCGAATAACAGTCTGTGACACTTTGTATTTTGTAGGCTCTATGGTTCAATAAAGTAACATAAAAATGGCGATGCGCGCCAACTGGACATTCTTGTTGACGACGAGCTAGCGGTAAGACATCTTGTGGTATTGCTGTATCGTAGAATTTAGTATATGTGCTACTATTTTATAGAAATATTGCTGAGTAACGAATCGAGGGTAGTATTAATTAGTTTAGAAATATATTATGTAGTGACTTTATAAGATTTAATCATTAAGTAATTGCTTTTGTTTCCA